GCACGTACTTATTGTCCCAGCTACCAGAGAAGCTGAGGTAGGAGGAATGGTTATAGTGAGTTATGACCACACCACTGCACTCCAGCCTGGGCAAGGCCCTGTCTCTAAAAAACAAAATAATAAGAATACCAAATCATACTAAAAACTAGAACAAATGGCATATACCAGAAATGCTATAGTGGAGAAATGGAACATTCAATGTAGGCTAGAGAAATAATGCCAAGGAAGATTCATAGAGGATGGATAAGACATTCAGTCATTCAATGAAGCTGAACGCTTAACATATGCTAAGTAATAGAGCTTCAAATAAGACAGTCAAGGTCTATACCCAGTAAAACTGAACTACCTGGCACAAGGCTGAACAGAAAAGGGTGGGGCTGGATACTGGAGAAACTACAGAGCTTGGATTTTATCCTGAGGGCATTAGTAGGGAGGGGGCAAACATAGGCCACTGAAAGTTTAAGGAAGGAAAATAAAGGCAACTTGTGCTTTACAGGGTCAAGCTGGCTCGAGGAAATTCCCAGGAGCGTGTAGAAGCCCTCTCCCTGATAAGTGAGCTCAAGCTTATGACCACCAAGCTCCTTCCAAGCTTCCTGCACTGTTTCTCTGATGACTTCCTAGCAGTTCGGCGGGCAGCCTGTGTGGCAGCTGGTACCCTGCAGATCCACGACAAGATGGTGAGTCAGGGAAACATGTTCTTATCTTACCTTATTGACCTAAAGACAGCATTACCTTCCCTTGTGCATAGCACACTCACCATTCTGTGGGGACACAAATGAGAGATCAGGACCAGGAAGGTGAGGAGTGGGTATATAGGGCATGTGTTTATTAGGACCGTTTAGCTCTCAGCCACCCAGTCTTCACTCTAGACTCCAGAGCACCCCCCTGAATCCAGTTCTCACCTCACTTAACTAACTTCTCATTACCTGGGTACTGATGGGCTTTAGTAGCAACTCCAGCAATCAGAATTATAATTTCTAGTTATTAGAGGGAAATCTAACTGAGGTGCTCAAAAGCAGCTTTATGACTACAGGCCTGTGGATTGAGAAAAATTAATCTATAGATACCAGATAATTCAGCTAACACACTATGTGTACAAGTTGGTACTTCTGACTCCAACTCACTTGTCACTAGAATTGATAGGTCATTTTTCAGTTACAGCACCTTTTAGAGATAAGTGGAATCCCTGTTTCTGGTTTATTCTTCTTTTGGTTCTGCTCACTTAACACTGTCTTTTATCCATCTCAGGTGTTCGAATGCCTCCTTAATCTGATACAGAAAGATCCTTCCTGGAAAATCAAGGCCTTTGCTATTCGAGGTATTATAGAAGTTGTGACCCCAACTTTTCAAATACATTCCCCTATGCTAATAAAAATGATCCTCCAAAACTTTCTAGTAACAGGGTGAGATGTAGGAGAATGGATAATCTTAGCTTCTCAGAAGTGCCTTAGGAGAAGGGAAAGATTATTATAATTTTTCTTTTTATTATAATTTTTATAATTAGAATAAGTATCCTTAGTCTAGGAGGTCTATGTCAAACTTGTTAAGGTAAAGAGGTTGTCAAGACAGTTCTTGCCAACAGAATTAAGGATAAGTTCCAAGTAGATTTTTCAATCTACTATGTATATATCTGTTGGATACATCTTTTTTTCCATAGTTTTTTTTTTTTTTTTAAGAGACAGAGTCTCACTTTATCACCATCAGTAGAGTGCCATGAGATCACAGCTCACAGAAACCTCCAACTCCTGGGCTTAGACGATTCTCTTGCCTCAGCCTACTGAGTAGGTGGAACTATAGGTGCCCGCCACAATGCCCTGCTATTTTTTTGTTGCAGTTTGGTCAGAGCTGGGTTTGAACCCGCCACCCTCTGTATATGGGGCCAGTGCCCTACCCATTGAGCCACAAGCGCCACCCAGTGTTTTTTGGGTTTTTTTTTTTTTTTTTTTTGCAGTTTTTGGCTGGGGCCAGGTTTGAACCAGCCACCTTGGGTATATGGGGCCAGTGCCCTACTCCTTTGAGCCATAGGCACTGCTCCCTAGAGTTTTTGGATTTTTTTTTAACTTACTTCACTCTGTACAAGTCAAGACTGCTATTGAACTAAAATCTTGCTGCTACTTTTCCTAGTTTATTTTTAGGATTTTGGTCATTGCTTCTCTGACAATCTTTGGCAGGTCCCTAGTAGAATCAGCCCTAGGTAAACCTATGAAGTAATTGTGCCTCTTTTCCCCATCACCCTGCCTCAACTAGGCTGGTCTCCCAAGTTATCTGTCCCATATCTCACCCCTAAATGGGCAAATTAGTCCCTGTTGACATCCTAACAGACAAGGATGAGATGGAATTCCCCTTCTCAGAATTCTTGGGCAGGAATGTACCATCTAACCTATCCCTAAAATTCCAAGGGTGATTAATTGCCATCCAAAAGGGAAGATATTGTTTGCAATACTCAACTTATTTCTGGATATTAAGATATAGCTAACTCAGACTTCAGGAACAGTGGAATATGCTGCCCCCTAATCTCTATAGCTTTGGGACAGATTGGAGAAGTCAGTCCCCAACTGATAGAGCACCTGCTCTGGGCAATCCACTACGAAGCATCACCAGGTGTACGACTAGAAGCTTGCCGTAGCATCCAAGCCCTCAAACTTCAAGGGGACCGGGTCAGAGACACCTTTCTAGATGTACTGCTCCTGGAGGACCATGAGGCTGTTCTAACGTATGTTCTAAACCTGTTTCCTGCCATGACCTCTTACACCTCCCATCCTTGCTAACGGAGTATGTCCCTGCTTTTCCAGGCTGCCTAATGGCCAGTGAAAGCACAGGCCAACCTGTGCCATTCACATACCTACCCAAGAAAGTAACAGAAACTGGCTTAAATTGGATTGAAAAACAAACTCATATAGGTCATGTACCTTATCCCTCCACCTCCTCCCACACTGATTTTTGTTTTTTGATTTATTTACATATTCAAATGAAATTGATCGAGTGCCCACTATGACAACAGCCTTTAGAGTCAAAAAGATCATGGTCTAAATTTCAGCTCTGACGTGCAGTAGCTATATGAGCCTGGGCAAGATACTGAAATACTCTGAAACCATTTTTCTATGTATCAAATGCAGTTGATAGTCTACATTATAAGGCTGTAGAGCCAACTGTCACAAAGCTGGTCAGTAAATGGTACCTATTGCTACCTTTGAATATATCATCTCCAAAACTGCACATCATCCATATAAGCTAAGCATCATACCAAAAAAACTAAGGTGAAATTTTCACTAATAGGTGTAAAAAAATGTCCAACCAGTATCACAAGAGAACAATGTTGTTAGGCATTTCTATACCATCTAATACTCACAAGCATGAGACATCATTACTTTAGTAATGCTTTTTGATGATTTGCTGCCTAGTACAGTTTTTTCTTCATACCATTTTTGCAGATAAGACTCAGTAAAACCACATTTAGGATTCTTGCCCGATTCCAAGTTCTATATTTTCCACCCCATGCTATTTTATTATTATTATTATTTATGTTTTTTAGAGACAAGGTCTCACTCTGTCACCCAGGCTGGAGTGCAGTGACAATTCAGCCTCAAACTCCTGGGCTCAAGGGATCCTCCTGCCGTACCTTCTGAAACAGTTATTATAGGCATCTGTCACCATGCCTGGCTAATTTTTTAAAATTTCTTTTGGAGATGAGGTGTTGGTCTCTATGTTGCCCTAGCTGGAGGGCAACAAGCAATCTTCCCACCTCAGCCCCTAAAGCTGCTAGGATTGCAAACTGGATTGTAAGCCACCACATCTAGCCTCCCATACTTTTTTTTTGAGACAGTGTCTCACTATGTCATCCTTGGTAGAGTGCCACAGCATCATAGCTCACAGCAACTTCAAATTCTTGGGCGTAAGTGATTCTCTTGCCTCAGCCGCTCAAGTAGCTGGGACTACAGGTGCCAGCCACAATGCCCGGATATTTTTTTGCTGCAGTTGTCATTCTTTGGCAGGCCCAGACCGGCTCGAACCCACCAGCCCCATTGTATGTAGCCAGTGCCCTAACCACTGACCTACAGGCACTGAACCCCCGCCCCTGCATAATTCTTTAAAGGACAGAGAAGCACAATCCAAGAAATTCCTCTTATCTTTCAGGGAAATTTACCAGGCAATGAAGATACTCAACTTAGAATGTGAAGCAAACCAAGAAATGCTTCAGAAGATCAACATAAAGGTAAATAAGTGCAAGGTCTATTTTCAAGGGAATATTTGGGGCTCTCAAGAGTTCCTGAGACCCTTTCCCCAACACAGAAATATTTTTTACAAACCCAAACATGTATCATTTGAACGTCTGTGCAAAAATAGGTTATAAAATCCTATTAGTTTATATAAAAACAAAACAAAATCCTACTAGTCCTATCAAGTAGCCCTCAAAATCAGGAAAATCAAGCTTTATTATTGTGGTGTTTGTTTTGGGACTTTTGTTTGTTTGTTTGTTTGTTTTTTGAGGCTACAGTGCCCAGGTGCCACCTAGCTCACAGCAAACTCAAACTCCTGGGTTCACACAATCCTCCTGCCTGAGTCTCCTGAGTAACTGGGACTAGGGGCACCTGCCATGATGCCTCGCTTATTTTTCCTATTTTTAGTAGAGATGGAGGGGGGGCGGGTCTCACTCTTGCTCAGGCTGGTCTTGAACTCCTGAGCTTAAGGGATCCTCCTGCCTTGGCCTTCCATAGTGCTAGGATTACAGGCATGAGCTGCCACACCCTGCCAGATTTTCATAATTTTCCTTAATTTCTAATCTGGGTTCCTCAGGAGCTGAAAGGGTTATTGTAATTTGTCAAGGCTATTAGATGGAAGAATACATGGGAAAGAACTTTAAAAAGGTAATCCACAAAACCAACTTCGTGAAGTTTCTTTTTATTTATTTATTTTTGAGACAGAGTCTCTCTGTTACCCAGACTAAACTGCTGTGGTGTCAGCCTAGCTCACAGCAACCTCAAATTCCTGGGCTCAAGTGATCCTCCTGCCTCAGCCTCCTGAGTAGCTGAGACTATTGGCACCTACCACAACACCCAGCTAATTTTTCTAATTTTAGTAGAAATGGGGTCTTACTCTTGCTCAGGCTGGTGTCAAACTCCTTAACTCAAGTGATCCACTTGCCTTGGCCTGCCAGAGTGCTAGGATTACAGGTGGGGGCCACCGCATCTGGCAGAAACAAGCATTTCTGCGTAGGTTCCTTTCATCATACCAAAAAAACTAAGGTGGAATGTACACTAACGGGCGTAAAAGAATCTCCAACCAATATCACAAGAGAACAACATTCTTAGGCATTTCTGTACCACCTAATACTCATAAGCATGAGACAGTTACCGTATGTAGTAATGCTTTTTGATGATTTGCTGCCTAGTAGTTTTTTTTAACATAATTTGCTCTAATCTAGATTAATACGCTAAATCAAAAGGACTTGCTGACACAGAAAATATTCAAATTTGAGAAGGTCATCAGAAAAGTGAAGGAGGAAGCAAAGCGTATTTACTCACAACCCAAAGAAGGTCAAAAACCACTGACGCTACATGCTCTTCTCAAAGCTACTTTTCAGGGTATGTTTCCTAGGGGTCAGTCCTATTCCTTTAGTAAGCCTTTTCCAGAATTTGGATGTTTTGTGACTTAGTAGTGAACTCTATGGGATGAAAAGCATCAGGAAAGCCTACTTTCCTTTCCTTCTTGGCCATCATCCACTGAGTTACTATTTTCCCATCTGCCAGGTTTTTCATTTTCTAGTTTATGTCTTAAAAAAAGAATGAGGTAGCTGTATTTGAACTGATTTAAAAGTTAGGTCATAAAAGGACATATTAGAAAAACAAAAGTCTTTATAAAACAAGATCTGTGTGGGCAGCACCTGTGGCTCAGTGAGTAGGGCACCACCCCCATATACTGAGGGTGGCAGGTTCAAACCTGGCCCTGGACAAACTGCAACAAAAAATAGCCAGGTGTTGTGGCAGGCACCTGTAGTCCCAGCTACTCAGGAGGCTGAGACAAGAGAATCACCTAAGCCCAAGAGCTGGAAGTTGCTGTGAGCTGTGACGTGATGGCACTCTACCTAGGGCAACTTATCTCTTAAAAAGAAAAAAAAACAAAAACTGAGAGCTGTGTATGTTTGATTAAGCACATACACACATACGAAGTCTTTTTTTCTTTTTTTTTTGAGACAGAGCCTCAAGCTGTCCCCCTGGGTACAGTGCCGTGGCATCACAGCTCACAGCAACCTCCAACTCCTCGGCTCAAGCGAGTCTCCTGCCTCCACCTCCCAAGTAACTGGGATTACAGGTGCCCGCCACAACGCCCGGCTATTTTTTGGTTGCAGCCGGCTATTTTTTGGTTGCAGCCGTCATTGTTGTTTGGCGGGCCCGGGCTAGATTCGAACCTACCAGCTCAGGTGTACATGGCTGGCGCCTTAGCTGCTTGAGCCACAGACGCCGAGCCACATACAAAGTCTTTAATCATGGTTGCCTTGTCTGGAAAGTGGGGTTGGAGAGAAAGTATCATTTTACATAGATGCACATCTATGCTTTTGTAACTTTTTAAAAAAGACTTTATAAAGTTCTCAACCTTAAACAACTGAACCTATCAGTTATGGTGATAAAATCTTAAGAGTGCCAGACACGACTTAAATGATGAGGGTACAGAAATCAAGCTGTATCAAATTATACTTACAAAATCTGTGTGCCCAAGCGTAGCAGCAGCTTCAGGTCACTCAGTCAGCTGCCTACCAGCTACCACCCCAAACCCAGGTCTTCTGGTTCCAAGTCCAGTGCTCTTTCTGGTACACCAGGCACTTTTCCACCAACCATGAGACCAGATTTGAGAAAGTTTCTTCCAACTGCCAGAAAAAAATGAGAGTGGAAAGTAACTTGAACAAGAGCTTTCCCTCATGGCTAACTTGCTAAAAGTTGGTTTACTAAGACCTATGATACCATACCTAAGCGACATGATTCCCCTCTAGAAGCAGTGCCAGCCACTGATGCAAACAAGCAAAAACATAATATGCTTTTAAAGTTGACCTTGTAATGGAAAATGACTTTTCTACTAGGATTGGACTATTTAGAATTCAAGTAGCATATTTTAAAATCATAAAAATCACCCCCAAAGTTAAAGAACTGGCCCAAGCAGATGAGTTCTCTTCTTTAAAAGTTTAATATTCTCCATTTACATCCTACAACCACCCCAAGTTGCTTTTCATCTCAGGCATTATAGGTTTTCCCTGTCTTCCACCCCCTCCCATATTTCTTCAAACCATCCCACATAATAATCTAGTCTCAGAAAAGGGAAACATTCTTTGTCTTTGATACTTTAATTTTCTAATGTTGATACAAACTTAATAACAAACAGTATACTGACCCCAAACCTCCCCCCAAACTGGTGAAAGAGAATTCAAATGCAAGATGCAAATTTCAAATAAAAACTTCTGGTGTCTCAAGCAGAATGACATGGCCAGTGCTACACAGTACAGTGAAGCCTGAGTGTGCTGAAGCTGGTTCTCTGAAATGATCAGAGATCAAGGTTACTTTTTCACTTCCAACATCTGCTTTTACATTTGTACCTAGATGAGGTGGTTCTTCCTAGAAGACCGTCTGAGGTTTGTGACATTGAAGCAGTCATAAAGGTAAATGTGAGCACACTGATGATTATCAAGGTAAGAACATGAATTAAAAAAAAAAAAGTGGCAGTGGTAGGGGAGAATCCCTCCTGCCTTGTTTCCAACAATTAACAAGAAACCTGTTTAAGTTAGAGGCATCTTGGTTAGCAGCAACCCCTTATCATACAACATGGTTGCCAAGGAAAGCTGGTCCTCCACACTGTCACAGGGCAGGTCCCCTACTCTCACAAACTCTGGGTAGGAGCGAAGCAAGAGTTCCATAGCATCTGCTTGCTGGGGGTATATTTCCAAGCACTTGGGCTCTTCCAGATGATAAACACGGGAGTTTTCCACTGTGTAATAGAGAAACAAATGGCCTCCCTCACCCACCAGACGAGCTATCCCATCCTGAAGCATGTGGACTTCTGTTTCTGTTGTCAACTGGGCCCCCACATTTACAGGTTGTCCAGCCTCCCAGCGAATTGGGAGCCCATGAACACTTAGTGCCCTCTCCCTATCAGTCAAAACAGGGGGTAGAGAATCATGGATGAAGTCTTTGGCTCTCTGGTCAGCCACAGCATCAACAGGAGCAAAGTGTCCCAGCCTGGCAACCAAGACCCGGACCTTCTCCATGAAAGCAGTTCTTCGTGGATCCTTAGAATCAGAATGCTGGGCCCCCATGTAATCCATAAAGTCTCGGGGAAGACCCCTCCGAAACTCCACATTTTCTTCCATTGCAGCCTGCACAGCCAGAGGCAGTACCGCCTCTAGAAAGTCTCCCCAGGTATTGCGCTGGTACGTGGACAAGGTCAGATGCAGGGAGTGGACTCCATCCTGGCATTCAGCTTGGTGAATGAAGCCCCGAGGAAAATAAAGCAAATCTCCAGGTTCCAGGACAGTCTGCAGCACCGGCTCACCGAGGTCATCCTGACTGAAGTTGGGGCTAGATGTCAGGGCCAGTTCCTCGGCTGGGACCCGGGGTCGGTAGACACGCCAGAGTTTCCTGCCTTCCAGCTGCAGCACGAAAGCTTCGATGTCGTCGTAGTGAGGAGCAAAGCCCTGCGAATCGGGGGGCGTGAGGTAAACGTTGGAGCCTGCCATGCTTCCAAACTGCTCTTGGAGTACGGCCAAAAACTGCCACACAGTGGTCGAGAAAGCCTGCGGACACAGGAGGCGCAGGGAGCAGCCGGCCTGGTACAGGGACCATGCGGCGGCCGGCAAGGCGCGGCCGGGCGGGTTCAGGGTCTCGCGCCTCCCATTGATGTAGCGCGCGGCGTCCAAGTGCTGCCCGAACTGCACCTCCTCGTTGCGCAGTATTGAGTCCAGATCGGCGGTAGAGAAAAGGCCCTGGTAGTAAGTGCGGTCCTGCCGCCGCACCAGCACCGCCTCCCGCTCCCACAAGCGCCGGTAGAAATGATCTGGCGGCATTGGTGCGATGAGCCACTCAAAGAGGTGTGCTGCTCGCCGCCGGCTGCTGGGGATGCGGTTCAGCTCAGTCAAGACGCGCTGCAGGGGGGAGTCCCAGGACAGCTCTCCACCGGTGCTATCCACCTCCGGTCCCGACAGGGTCACAGGGGCCCCGGAATGTGGAGCGGCCCCCAAGTGCTTGGCTGTGCACAGCAGGGCAGAGTTCTCCACCACGCGGGCCGGCGCAGCCACCGAAGCTGGGACGAGGCGCGCTGGCTGGGTCTGCGCTTCAACAAGGCGCGCCGGCGGGGTCTGCAGGGAGTGTGCGGCGGGCGAGGCTTCCAGCAGCTCTGCAGGCCCCAGATGGCCGTAGGGCTCTCGCCGGGCTGCGTCCGGGATGGCTGCCGCTGCTGTCCCGCTAGGCAGTGCGTCCCCCAGATCGTTGGCCGTGGACTCCACTCTGGAGTCCTCCGAGTCCTCGCTTGGCAGCGTCTGGACCCTCAGCGCTGCCATGCGGGACGCTGCACTTCTTCTCAACTGCCTGCGTATCTTCCTGGGTCTCAAGGGCAGGGCCAGGATCGACCCGCCATGTGGCTGGGGCTGGCGCCGACGCCTCGGCCGCCCACGCCTCAACACCCCCACACCAGCTCGCAGCCCGTCCATGGCCAAACTGTGCCCTCCCACAGCCAGGCCGGAGACAAATAACGTAGCCACACAGACAGCGGCTGCGGTGCACTCTGGGAAGGGGGCGTGGTCTCCAGCTAGCTCTGGGTTAGCCACGCCCACCATTCATCCTCCAGGCTTCTCCCGCTCTCGGTGTTAGCAAATGTTGTCTTCATTAAATGCATGGGTTCGTTTAATCCCTGCTAAACTAAAAGGGTTCCGCCTTTAGAGGGCAATTTAAAAATCAGGCACTCCAGGAGAAAGACAGTTGGCTACTTAACTCGTTTTTCTCCCAGTCTCTCTGAACATTTCAGTGTTCCTCCAACGTCCTCATTTCTGAACAAGAGTCCTCAGCAACTTCCCATGGGAAAGTACACAATTCTTGTTTTTCTTTTCCTTCCTTCCTTCCTTCCTTCCTTCCTTCCTTCCTTCCTTCCTTCCTTTTTTTGAGACAGAGTCTCACTTTGTCGCCCTCGGTAGAGTGCTGTGACGTCATAGCTCACAGCTACCTCAAACTCTTGGGCTTAAGCGAGCCTCTAGCCTCTCAAGTAGCTGGGACTACAAGCTCCGCCACAATGTCCTCCTGTTTTTAGAGATGTGGTCTCGTTCTGGCTCAGATTGGTCTTGAACTGGTGAGCTCAGGCAATCAACCCAACTCGGTCTCCCTGAGTGCTAGGATTACAGGTCCAAGAAATATGCAGAAAATTTGAGATTCAGAATGCCTGGGGCAAAGTCTATGATTCTGTAGAACATCCCACCAGGTTCTCTGCAATGCAGATGCTTCATTGATTGAAGCCCTAAGACTTCTCCACCTTCTTCTGTTACATATCCTGGCAGTCTTTGTCCCAGCTCTGAAAAAGAAGTTATTGACTTATTTACTTGCATTCTGGATATCTGCCCTTCCGAACCCACTAAGCTTTTGTTTCATTAGCTAAGATTTCTCTCCTCTTCCTCTTATGAATCTTAAATCTAGGTTTCTGGGAGGCTGAGGCAAGAGAATCGCCTAAGCCCAGGAATTGGAGGTTGCTGTGAGCTGTGTGATGCCATGG